ATCCGTCTGGTCTTCAGTGGCCTTCAGTTAGCAGCACAAGCCACCCACATCAGCCTGTGTGTGTCCACTCCCCACCCCATCAACACAGGCCTGGCCTCAGTAAGACCACAAACCCAGACATGGCCCACAGCAGCAGCAAGGACACACCCAGACATCACCATGGCTTTGGTGGCAGCTCAGGCTATTCTGATCATTATGCCACCCCTACCTCCCACCCTGGCAGCATGGCCCACGAACATCAACATGACTTTAGGCCTCCACTTGGCCTTTGGTGGTAACATGGGCCACAGACATCAACTCAGACTCCGGGCACAGATATGACCCTTGGTGGCAGCTCGGACATTGTCCTCAGGTATCAGTGCAGCCCACTCACATTGGTATGGTCCCTGTAGGCAGCATGGACCATGGACATCAAAATGGATTGAGGCCACAGCACAGGCTACGAACACCATCCTTTGATATCAAACCATACTCCAGTCATGTCAGGGCCACTGACCCACACATGGCCCTCAGTGGTAAAGGACACGATGGTCCTTTGAGGACCATTTCTCATCTCAGGACTTTGTCATTGCACAGGGCAAGGGTGAACCTGCAGCCAGGGATCTTGTTCAGTGCCTGAATCTGCATGTGGTTAAGCTCCCAGCTGCTGCACACAGCATGAGCCACACATCCTTCTCAGCCCTAGCACACACACTGCTCTGCTCTCCATCACGCCCATCACTTCTACTCTTTTGGGGAGGCTAAAAGAGGGCATCAGGTCCCCTGGAGCTGGAGTTAAAGGCTGAGGTCCTCTGCAAGAATCATAAAAGTTTTCAGTGGTTGAGCCATTTCTTTAATTCCTTTCCTCATTAAAAATTAAAAATATTTTTTACTTCAAGACAACGAAAAAACAAAACAAAACAAAACAAAAAATAATTCCACAACCAAAACCGAAAGAAAGAAAAGAATCCATTCAGCAATACTGGACACCTGCCTCTCACGTGTCAGTTAACCAGGCTAACAGGAGAAAAATGGGAAATCAGCCAGACTAGTCACGAGACCCGAGGCTTCTGTACCTCAGAAGGCTGGCTGAAAAAGGAACATAGATAGAGTGAAGGAGCCTGGGACACGAGGGTCCAAGAGTGGCATATTGGGGTCCAAGAGCAGAGTTCTGACGCTGTCTGCAAATGACCAAGTCTCAGCCTGTCTGAGAAGTGAAGATGTTGAATTGGACTGGAGATGACAGTCACCCAGGGGATAGGAACAAGATTCCTTGAGCTGGGGGTGTCACACAGACACTTCCTCACAGGATGAAGGCAGGGGCCCGTGTGGAGAAAGAGATAGGAAATTGGGTGCTAACCACTTGGTGATATGGGAGGGTGCTGGGAAGCCATTGTGGTACAGTGATAAGAAGGGGCAGGTTGGATGGCCCCACAGTTTACCATAGTAGCTTGCAGACATTGTAAGTTGTTCTACCAAAAGAAAAGATTTCCTAAAATCTTGAACAGTAAATAGTTAGCCTTCATGGTTGCCTTTTTAGGGACAGTATGTCAGAATGGAAACAGGTCACACGTTCCCAGTGATGAGCCCTTTGCTGAACTGCAGATAGAAACTGGTGTCTCATCTGCACTTGCGCAAGACCACACAGACTTGAAGAACCAAATGCCCAGTCCAACCATTGGGAGGCAGACAGGAAGCAGCTCATTAAGAGTCTCTTCAAGAATCATCAAGACACTGGGTGGTGGTGGTGCACACCAACACTCAGTGGCAGAGGCAGGTGGATCTGTGTGAGTTCAAGGCCAGCCTGGTCTGCAGAGCTAGTTCCAGGACAGTCAAGGCTACACAGCGGAACCCGGTCCCCCAAAACAAGTTAAAACAAAACAAAACCCATAAAGACCGGACAGTCCTCAGCATTCTCACTTTTTTTCATGGACCACTTTGTGACTCCAGCATGTAACTCATTCAGAGTCAGCATTTTCCTCTCTGCCTTATTCCTGCAGCTCTAACACTTTTGCAAGCCTGGTTGGGAAGCCCCCTCCTCTTTACTGTGACATTAGGCCATGCCAGGGTTAGTGGAAGGAAACTGGGCAGAGTTTCTCCATTGGAGGGGGTAACTTATGCGTTGTCAGTCATGCTTCATTTAGCTCGTGGGGTTTTAGAATGTGGGCTACATAGGGGGAGGTCGGAAGGGAGCTGACTTAGTGGGCAGTAACAAGCACAAAAGATTAAATAAAATAACAGAAAATGTCAGGGTGCTATTCAGGTGCCTTGAGGATGTTTTCCTTTGGGTTTTTGTGCATGTCGTATGCTGAGATGTTTCTTACACTTTAAGTTTCGAGCTGGGAATGGTGGTTTATATCTGTATTACCACCACTTGGGAGGCTAACATGGAGGAACATCCCATGAGTTTGAGTCTAGCCTGGGCTACAGCATAAGTTTCAGATCAGTCTGGGCTACCGTGAGTTCTGGTCTCAAAACAGAAAAGGATCTAAATTTTCTTTCTTTCTTTCTTTCTTTCTTTCTTTCTTTCTTTCTTTCTTTCTTTCTTTCTTTCTTTCTTTCTTTCTATATTTAATAAGTAATATTTAACAGACTATTTTTTTCATGGTGACTTCATAAAATGGTTTGGTAGGAAATCACTTAAACTTTGTGTGTGTGTGTGTGAGAGAGAGAGAGGGGAGGAGGGAGAGAGAGAGAGAGAGAGAGAGAGAGAGAGAGCTTTATGGGCTGTATATGGCACATATGACGTCAGAGGACGTCAGTTTCTTTCCTTCCACATTATGTGGGCTCTGGGGATCGAACTCAGGTCTCCAGGCTTTCGCAGCAAGCACCTTTATCTGCTGAGTCATCTTGTCAGCCTTGGAAATCTGCTTTTTTAAGGTTGCAAAAAATATTTGTTTACATAAGCAAGTAGGCCTCATCTCCTATTATGTCCTTTAACTGATAAGTTTAGTTCTCAAAAGACAGCCAAAATACATTTTCATGAAGACAGGTTTAATCTCGGTAATCTATTATAAAATGTGGAATAAACGACTGAAACTCAGGTCGGTGTTTAAGAGACTGGATGTTACAGATAAGCACGCTACAGCTTATCCTTAGATCTCTTATCCTATGCTTCAGGACTTCAATGACTGGGGCAGTGGTTATAGTTATAAGAACAAAAGGGTAATAGGTACTCCCCGCCCCAGCTTTTTGGGTTATCAGGATGCCCCAGTCAATAGCCACACAGATACCATAAGGTAGCATAGATCAAGACGATGTAAGGGCACATCAACGTGGCATGGGATGCCTGTAACCCCAGTGCTTGGTATCATACTATTGGAGGGGACGGGTCTTAAATTAAGGTTAGCCTAATCAACACATGTTCCATGTCAGCCAGTACTACATAGTGAGACTCATGAGTGGGACTCTCAATAAAGGCAAAACAAAACAACAAAATGGGGGGGGGAGAGGGAGATGTGGGGGAGGACAAGAAGACAAGAGCCAGGTATGGTGGGATATGCCTATATCCTATAATTTTAGTATTTGGGAACTAGAGGTGGGAGCATCAGGAGTTGGAGGTCAGCCTCAGTTACACAGTGAGTTTAAGGCCCACAACAATAAAAAGAAACAGTAGAACAACAACAAAGGCAGGATATTCTAGATGCTGGGGGACATTTCAGTTTACTTTATGCGTATCTGTATAAGAGTGCACACATATATTTGTGCACATACCAATTAGATCCCCCTGTAAAATGTCACGCTTACTATGGATCACAGCCAAACCTGTAAGAGATGAAGTGACGGGAGAGCCAACTTGCTCCTTCTGTGAGTTATAGACTTCTGATGCTGCCTTGGCGAAAAGTTACAACTACCCCCTCCACCCACCTCCACCCCCTACTTTGAATGGGTCTTATCCACAGGGCTGACATAGAATTGAAATAAGAGCAGTTAAATATGAGGACCTATTTGATTCTGTTGTGACTTGGATGTGGCTTGTCCCCTTTGAGTTCATGTGTGAGCAGCTTGGTCCTCAGCGTGGTGACATTGAGGGACAGTGGGACATTCAAGAAGTGTCTAATGTGATGTGATAAGGTCATTGGGGCCATCACCCTCAGAAGAGATTAATGTAGTTCTCTTGAGACCACAGTTAGTTCTGTGAGAGGGAGTGGTTTTAAAGAGAGGCCACCACACACAAGTGGCCCTTCTGCACATGTACATTTTCCTTCCTGATTTTCTGCCATGTGATGTAGCCAAGAGGATGTTCACCCAAGGCCAAACTAGAGAAGTCAACTGTTCTAGGATTTTAATCTCCAAAATTCTGATAGACTCCTCATTAGGAAGCCAACACATCCAGAGAGGGTTAGGTGATTTGCCTGTTCAAAGTCATTCAAGTGAGTTAGGAATGAGGACTTTCCACCCAATATCATGTTTCTTTTCTTTCTATAATTTATACTGTATCTCATTTTCTGATTCCAAATATAACACTCAGCATTTAAAAATACTAATATACTACTACTACTACTACTACTAATAATAATACACTCCAAACCAGATACAATGATGCACGCCTATAATCCTACCACTCTCCCAAGAGGCAGAGGCAGGAGAGTCATGAGATTGGAGCTAATCTGGGCTAGATATCGAGACTCTGTTTTTGAAAACCAAAGGCTGGGGATATAGATGCTTAAAATACAGAAAGCCCTTGGTTTAGGTTCAAGAATTACTGAAAACATTAAAAAATTATCTTTAAAAAAGTCTATCATAAACTGACCTTTGGCTCAAGATTGGTACTCTTTTCATTTTATTATGTGTGCTATATGTTTGTAGCATTGACTTTTAATCATGAAATGAATGAATTCTTGGAATGTCTCCCAGTAAGATTACCTGTTCTTATTCAATACAAAGTACATTTGTATGGCATAGTGCAGTTTATACAATATATATTACACTCTAAATAGTAATAGTAACAGTTACAAAGGTAAGAGACAAAATAACTGACCTGAACATCCTAGGTTATAGAATGCATTTGAAACAATTACCTGTGTAAAGAAAGGTGTTGGAGTGTCCTCCCACCACGATGTCCACACCTTTCACTTTCTGAGCAATGAGTTTATCCATTTCAAAACCAGAGTGTCCAAGTGCAATGATTTTGTTCACATTTAGAGTTTTTAGTTTATCTACTTCAGGTTGCAATGCAGTGATTTCATCTTCAAACACTAAATTTGTCCCTAAGAAGGAAAATTAATAAAATGGATATTAAAATATTTTCACTGTACTGTTTATACTCCAACACACTAAGCATATTAACTTCTTTTTTTGTTGTTTTGTTGTTTTTCAAAACCTGGTTTCTCGGTAGCTTTTAGAGGCTGTCCTGGAACTCGCTCAGTAGACCAGACTGGCTTTGAACTCACAGAGACCCACCTGCCTCTGCCTCCCAAGTGCTGGAACTAAAGGCATGCACCCACTACTGCCCAGCACATATTAATTTCTTATTAAAGCTTTCCAATTATGCCACCATTGCCTGTAAAGCTCTCCAATTATGGAGAGCAAAATGTATGAATACATCTAGTACAAAAGCCCTGGCAAGCAAAGAAAACTTAAATCAATGTCATTGGCTGTATTCACCCAATATTTTGCTGGGTTAAAGTTGTAGATGACATTTTTGTGTATATACATACATATTTATATACACACACACATTTTTGAAATTTTATTTTTGTGTGCACATATATGTCATAGTATGTGCATCGAGGTCAGAGGACAGTTTTCAAGAGTTGGTTCTCTTCACTCTTTCCATGGTTCCTAGGGATCGAACTCAGGACATCAGGCTAGGTGGGGAACACCTTTATCACTTGAACGATCTCACTGGGCCATATATGATACATTTGTATAAACTCAATTTCACACTATGAGGATACTTCAGGTATGGTTTGCTTCCATCTTTTTATATCTAAACCATCACAATAACCATGCCAAAAAAAAAAAAATGTGTGAGCACAAAAGTATGGAGCCCACAACTGCTCTTAATTCCATTGCTTTGAAAACTTGAGGGTGTTCTGTCTTGAAACCTAAAATGTCAACAAGTAGGCTTTGAACGCCAATTTCAAAAAATGGTTTTTACATTTATTTGTTTGGGCATGTATGTGCCATGGCATGCTTGTGAACACCAGTGGACAACCTGTAGAAGTCAGTTCTCTCCTTCTACTACATGGGTTCCCAGGATTGAATATTAGGTGTGGTGGTAAGTGCTCTTACCCACAGAGCCATCTTGCTGGCCCTTGAAAACTAACTTTAGCGTGGCAGATAACTGTTCACTTGTAGGCAGGGAGTAGCAGCAGCATCAGAGGAGAACAGAGTGCTGTATTACAAAGAGGCCTCATCTAAACATCGCTGGCCCTGGGAGGGAGTACATACCTCATGGAGCTCACTCTGCCCCACAGTGCTAGTAATGAGTGCCACAAGCTCTGGCTGGCACAGCCTGGGTATCCTTTGCTAAGACATGATCAGGGTCTCCCAGTCTGAAGCCAAAACTTGGCAAGTCCTTAGGTTTAATGGCTTCCGTGGTCATAAAGGGACTGCAAACATGCTGTCCTTAAGTCCCATTCAGCATCCTGCAGCAAGACAATCCTCTGGTTGATCTAGACGCCCTCATGCTAATTTCTAAGAACTAGAACTAAAACGAAGATGCCGGAATGCAAAAATCTCACAAAGAACATTCAAAATGTATATCTGCAAAGCCCAGTGTGAAAATCAAGAGCTTTCCCAAACATCAACAGACTACAAAAGATGCATCCCTTGTCCATTATGCTCAGGACCCCACTTCCCTGATGCCACATTTGAGTCCGGACTACATGCCAACTTCACATGTGTAAAATATGGAATATAAATCACAGCATGACAGCATGGCCATGGAGGTTCCACAGGACAGCTGGGAAGTTAGCAGCTCCCAGACAGACTGGCCTGGCAGGGCTGAAGTAGCTCAAGGGCAACAATGAAAACGCCAGGAGAGACAATACTTTCCCACCATTGTCTGCTGTGGAAATGTCAAGGATGATCTGATTCTTGTCCATAACCCCAAGAGGCTTGAGGCTTCCCTGGGTAGCCCTCAGCACTGAGGATCTGTCATAGCTTCTTTTCCTGGGGCTGTGATAAAATACCCTACAAGGGCTTATGTTGGCCACACTTTTAGGGCACGGGCCATCATCTTGGGGAAGTCCTGGAGGCAGGAGCTTCAGGCAGCTGGTCACATGGTATCCACAGTCAGAAAGCAGAGAGGGATGGATGCTGGTGCTCAACTAGATACCTTCTTTTCTTTTTATGGAGCCCAGGACCCAACCCTAGGGAATGGTGCCATCTTTCTTTATGGTGGATCCTCCCATCTCAATTAAGACCTCACAAGTGTGCCCAGGGACTTGTCACTCGATTGTTTCCTGGGAAGCTGACCATAAATACTGACTCTCACAGCCCCCCTTTCTGTCTGCCTTCTCTGGGCATTCTTCTGAAATAGTAAGGCGCACCGCTCCTCCTGCCATGTAGGCCCTCCCCTCGGCTTTCATTCTTCTCCATCTCGCTACTTTCTGACACATCCTTATTCATTTATTCTCTCACAGAGGGATACAGGTTTCTTGCTTGGTGTTTCTAGTGCCTAGAAGAGTGTGAGGAACACAGGTCCCCAGTGGGAGGGAACAGGGAGGAATGCTACCACCCTCTCCTTTGTTTAGTCCAACAAAATAGTTTCAAGAAATGCCTCCGCTCTGGACACTAAATACATAGAATGGGATGGGATATGTTTTAGAATGTCAGGAGAAGAATTACACACACACACACACACACACACACACACACACACACACACACACATATTTCACAATATCATCTAGCTAAGTAACTGAAATGTGCTAGGAATCAATGTATGTGCTCTGGAAAAACTGTGTTTTACTTGGGGGTCAGAGGGAGCTGCTTGTTCCAAGCTTCATTTAAAATTTTGAACACATGGGATTAAGCAAAAACACTGTTGAGTCAACAAAGAAATCCACTGAGCAGAGACGGTGACACCCTACAGAGGTAACTTAGAACAACACAGAATCTGCCACCTTGGTTTGCCAGTATCAGCCTCCGTATACCACAGTCTGTGAAAACATGGCCAAGCGCTGCCTTACCACATCTATTTCCAAGTCACCAGTGCTGTGAAAGTAGAAGATACCTGGATTCGAGAGGAAGGGGGTCTCCTTTGAAGTGTATCCAACAATCCCCACAACCTCACCACCGACAGAAAGAATTTTATATGGCAAATACAGTCCGGATATCTGAGGTGCTAGTGACCCCTGTGCCTTAATGTTTGCGCTCAGAATTGGAAATTTGACCTTTCTGAGGAGGGGATCAATCAGTCCTTCCACACCGTTATCAAATTCATGGTTTCCCAGTGCCTAAGTAAAATGGAAAAGAAAAAAGGATTAAGTACCCTGAATTTTACAACGAAAGTATATTTTTAAACCTATCACATTAGCCCAGTGGCTCCAGAAATGGACTGGGCTCTGTGAGACTTGACGTTATCTCCTGGCATTCTTACCTCCAGAAACATGACTTGGGGCCCTTGGGCTAGGCCAAGGGACACTCAGATCACAGGTAGGTCCAGCATTGTTGCCCAGGCTCCCCATGTAGGGAAGCTGCTATGATTGTGTATACTTGCAGCACCTCCAGCAAACATTGAGCTGGGAACCACTGTTCCACCATCTTCCGGTCAGACAGCTTCGCAGACCACCTTTACCAAGCCCTACCCAGCTTGTTCCTGCTGTTTTCTGCAGTTAGCCCACAGGTCAGACCTAATCGTTTTAGTAGAATGCTGACACTCCCAGAATCTCTTTCCTCATTGCTTCCCTTGGGTTATTATGCAATTTTTCACAATTTCTCTTCTTAAGGACTTCTCCAATTCTTCTGGGGAAATCAGGACAGGGAGAAGTCTCTCTTACAGTGGGTGTTGACTTCCTGCTCTGGTCAACCCCAGGTCACCCTGTACTCTGAGCACGTTAGACAATGTGGAAACATTACAGGTAAGTGGAAAGACAAAGATATCCCTTACTCTGGAACCTGGGGGAACCTCCTGCCAACTGAGAACCAAGAATTCCAGCACAATTATCATTGGCCATGGAAGTAACTGACAGAGGGACAATATTCCTTTTATATAGAAAAAATACTGTTTTCAAATGTGAATGTTAAAATATCAATGAACTGTGTGTGCTTAAGGCTTGCTCTTACCCCTGGCAGTCTTTCAAATAAGACTAAAACTTTGTTTACAGCAAAAGCAGCTTAATGCTCCCTATAGCCCTTGTGACCTAGAATTTTACCTTGTCAGCTGTAATCCTGTCCAATATACACGAGAACCACCCTATGATCTCATTTACCCAAAAAGAAAAGTTTCCTTAGCTACCTCTTGAGCTGTAATTTCAGAAGCCACCAAAAACAGTGTGTGTGGCTGTTGTAATGACAAGGACGTCTCTATCATGAGCAGTCCACACCCAAGGGTGTATACCCTCCTCCTAAGCACCTCTTTCTATTAACACCCATGCTTACATTTATGTGGAACTTTCTTTCTCATACATTAATCTGCTAGAACCCCGTTTCACACTGGTTTGTCTTGAAATTCTTTTCTGTCTTTATCCGAGTAAAGCTCTCTAAAAGGAACCTCTCAGACAGCCACAAGCAACTGCCACTGACAGCCTTGTGGTAAGTACCTTGAGATGCATGAGTGGCCAGGCCCCACCCCTGAGAACCTCCAACTGTCAGGCCCTGTCCACAGAACACTCTAATGGCCATAATGGTTAGACCCAGTCCCCCCAGATGCAGGCAGTTAAGCTCTGCATTCTACGGAGCAAAAAGCCCAAGCTCAAGACTTGAAATCCCACCCATTTCCACCATGGAAATCTGTTTTGGAGTATTTGTTTAACTAGGCAAAAAGATATGTTACATTTGTTTCTGCTGCCTTTGTTAATGATGTATAAGGCCTTACATTTGTTTGTGCTGCATTTCTTTATGTGAAGATGAGTTTCATTTGTTTCACTTTGCCTGCCTAAGGCACCTGATTGGTCTAATTCAAAAGCTGAACGGCCAATAGACAGGCAAGACAGGGATAGGCAAGGCTGGCATCCAGAGAGAATAAGCAGGAGGAGAAATCTACACTTGAGAGAGAAGAGAGAAGACAACAAGGGAGAAAGAGAGGGACATGCTTGGGGTCAGAAGGCAGGCAGCTGCCAGCAAACCAGACACGAGAAGCAGGAAAGGAGGGCATACAGAAAGAAAGAAAGGTAAAAGGCCCTGAGTTAAAAGGTAGATAAAGGCAAACATTAAAGTAAGAGCTAAGCTAAGGTTGAGCATTCATAACTAATATTAAGTTTCTGTGTCATGATTTGGGGGCTGGTTGGCAGCCCCAAAGAAAGCCTGCTGCAGAAATCTCCACCCTAGAAAGCTCTACACACCTCCTCCCACCGAAACCCTATATAAACCCTGTCTTCTGCTCAGTTCTCTGTTGCTTCTCCCCTGAGCAGAGGCAGCCACCCTCTTGGGTTTTTCCCTCCCAACAAATCTCTTGCATGAGATTGTTGTGCTGTGTGACTTTGTAGTATTCCATGGCTCCCAACTGCCAGAATACCTTTCCCTTCAGAGCTGTAACACTTCCTTTGGGACAGCCTTTCCCCTCAGAGCTGTAACACTTACACTCATTCCCAGCAGTTTATGTTGAGGAAGAACCTCCTGGTGAGGTGACCATGAGACCTTCAGTAGGTTCTGGATCCACTCTGTGCACAGGGCTTCAGGTGGAGCAGGGATGGTGTCAGGCATCATTAGTCGGATATTCCCACCCTTGGAGTCACAGCAGCTTTCTGTGCCCTTTCCCTTCCTCACTTGGTCTCCTAGATAAACCCAAGTCTGGGCAGTCACACACTTGGTTTGACTGCTAAGGCCATTTTACTATCTCGTACTTTAATTTACTAAGGTTCTCAGTACCACCTCAGTCTGCTTCACTCTGTGAGTCATCTGAGAAAAGGCCTGGAAGCATTGGCTGGAGCAGTGGTTCTCAACTTTCCCAAGGCTGGGACCCTTTAATACAGTTCCTCATGTTGTGGGGACCTCCAACGACAAAATTATTTTCCTTGCTACTTCATAACTGTAATTTTGCTACTGTTATGAATTGTAATGTAAATATTTTTGGAGATGAAAGTTTGCCAAAAGGGTTGTGACCCACAGGTTGAAAAACACTGGGCTAGTGACCCTTGAAACTAAAAAGGGCCATGATACATTCTCTTTTGCCTCACTCCCTCTTCCTGAGTGAGACAGAAACATACAACAGATAGCTTAGTAAGATGAAATTCCACTTGGTTTAGCACACACCCCTCTTGTAACACTGCACTTGGCAGCCTGGTATTACACATACTATGAGCACATACCCATCCCCAAACAACACCCCTAATAACTTGTTAGTAATCTAGAACCGCACCTTCATTGAGTTGCACGTACACCTCTCCTCAGACAATGGAATTAAGCTCTGTCTCCCCTTAACAATCATCTAACACAGACAATTTATATTCAGTCATATTCCAGGTATGAGAGTATCTAGGTCTTAGGGTAGGGAAGCCATACGACCTGAGCAAGTTTGGGATGAATGCTGGATACGGCAAACTGTGTCCTGTAAGTGAACTTTTAGGGAGAATTTTGAATGACATTTCTTTGCTATTTTGCAATACATGTGTGCCTTTATTACAGTGTTTATAACAAGAGGATAAAAACCTAGAAAACCTGGTCTGGACATGACCATCAGTTATGTGACACCAGTACATTCCATGGCTATACTGTAGGATCGTTTGTCGTCTGTCTCCTGGCTAGACTGACTGCACTTAAGCTACCTTGCCCTTTTTGCCCTGCTCAGCATGGTGTTTCTTCACCTGGCACACTGTCATTTACTGGGCACCTGTCACTCAAAGGGCTGTGCAAACATCCCCAGAAGCATTAAGGTCTCCCCGGGTGTGGTAGCATTTCATCTTGCCAGTGAATTTGTGTTAGTGGCTGGGCCCCTTTGGGCGTGGTTCCAGGTGTGGACGTGACTGCTTGAAGGTAGAGGGGGACACACTCTTGCTTGGGTCACAGAGAGCATCAGAAGGGCAGAGACTGCATCTTTGGGAGCAGGAACACCATGGCAGTTCTTCACTATTATCTGTGTGAGTTGTTCCCCAATAAAACACCATTTATCATTTGTCTTGGGTCTAGTGAACTCATTATTACCCAACCTTCAATTAGCATACTACATGAGGCACAAACCCATGACCCTGGGACTAAGAGTCCCATGCGCTACCGACTGAGCTAGCCTGGGTAAGTTCATAATTTCCAAACTTGCACATCTCTCCACTTCTAATACTTTTTTACCCACTCTCCACCTCCTCTTATCGAGATAACGTCTCTAAAAGCTGAGCTAGTCCTAAAGGCTCTCTCAGTCCTGGGCAAATGCCTCATTCTTCTAGTCTTAAAACATCATTATCACGGGACGCTGGTGTCACATGCCTTTAATCCCAGCACTTGGGAGGCAGAGGCAGGCGGATCTCTGTGAGTTTGAGGCTAGCCTGGTCTACAGAACGAGTGCCAGGATAGGCTCCAAAGCTACACAGAGAAACCCTGTCTAGAAAAACAAACAAAAAACATTGTTTTCTTTCTATGATGAAATAAATATCCTTTGTTATATAATAATTTAACTGTAGAGTTTTGTTTTAATGACTGTTTCTACAGTTTAAAAACTTGGTTGTTGGGATCAATAGTTATCCCTAGTATACGAATGGACTTTGGGATCCCATTCCACATAGAGGGATACTCTCTCAGCTTAGACACACAGGGCAGGGCCCAGGCCCTGCTCCAAATGATGCGGCAGACTTTGAAGATTCCTCATGGAAGACCTCACCCTCCCTGGGGCGCTGAAAGGGGATGGGATAGGCGGTTAGTGGGGGCAGGGGAGGAGAGGAGGGAGAGGGAACTGGGATTGACATATAAAACAAGCTTGTTTCTAATTTAAATAAAAAAACATAAAAAAGAAAACATTAAAAAAAAACTTGTTTGTTGGTTGGTTGGTTTAGGGTCTTTTGAGACAGAGTCTCACTGTGTAGCTCAGGATGGCCTTCAAATTCACAGTCTTGTGTTAACTTCCAGAATGCTGGATTACGGTCATGCACAATGACAATGGTTCCATAGTTCTTTATGGAAGATTGAGCAATTCATCAGTGCTCTTCTATCCCCAGAGTGTAGCAGCAGTTCAAGTTTTCATTTGTTGCTTCTTCAATGTCTTGTTCCCTCCCACCCTGATTTGAGTATGAGCCCTCTTTTGGTCCCAGCTCTATTCATGGACATCAGCACTCTGGATAGAGGACCAAATAGTCTTTATTCACACCCACCT